ACGAAGTGAATGAGAAAAACTCATCAAGAGAACGATATTCGCATGTAATAGCTATGAGAGTGAATGCAACACGTCTGAAAAGAATGAGAATCCATACAGGCAGTGAAATTACCCATTTAGGGTAATCTGAGGGTGTCGAGGGGGGAGGGGTAATGAAGGGGGTCGGGATATTAGTATTTCATGCAGTCCTTAGTTATAATAGAACGCCACAGTGATTGTGTATTTTTCTCTCGGATATCTAAACGCGGCTCGCTCATGAAAACACTTTATCTTCTTTATCCAATTTTCTGAGTATGTCTAGCTCGTACATACCCATATGAATTTTTCAACTCATTGATCCGAAGGAAGGCGATTGACGTGATCTGATGCGATTCACATTTGTATGATATTGAAGAAAAACAATGTTACTGTTTGTGAGAAATAGGAATTTCAAGCTAGATTAATCACTGTATACGGATATGAATAAATAAACGTTCAGTATTCAAAAATGTCTGCTGATTTAAATTTACTTCGACAAGATCCACATAGATATGATCGCTTTCGATGCGTTTCTCTTCGCGAGCCATTCTTAACAAACTGAACGTCCATTGCATTGGTACCCAAAATTTAGCATGTTGTGTTGTCACAGAATCCATAATGCCTTTTTCGGTTTCTGTTAATAAGCCTAAATAACTTCAACCACTTCATTTTCATTTCGTTTCGTTTGGTTTCATATTATTTCATTTCAGTCTTCACTCATCTCAGAAGTGTACGGGATGAATTAATCGTATTTTGTTGAGCAACTCAAATTTGAACTATACTATAGCGGCTTTATTCGAATGGCAACGAAACAATCTGTGAAACGATTCCATGAATCGACTCATCAAATGCTCACTCAGTCAATTTGTCAAGCCACAATCAAAAAGCACCAACCGGCTGTAACAATATGTTGCATCGTAGGAAACCTCTTTTTGACCGGTGTACTGACGTCGCGAAAGACCATTGCTTGAATCAATACCATATATCTGATCAAGTTACGTCTTATCATTCTCGAACGCTCATCAACACCTTTCACAAATGTTGCTATCGTTAGTGCTGGTCTTTAAATGAATAATTGCTATCATAGCTATCAATATTATGAGTATTACTTCTGTTATTACTATGATTGTCCTTATCATGATACATTTATTACTGTTGCTGCCAACAATCAAATTAATAGAATAAGGTCGAATAAAAATTAAATTCTCCTGAAGGAAATTCTCCTTATTTTGGAACTGAAGAAATTGAGTTCCAAAATTAGAAGAGTGTCGCTATATAAACAAGTTATACCATTCTCACAACTTACGTATCAATCCATCCAACGTGATCAAAGATTTCACGCCACCGATTATAAACGGTTGATACATAGAAACCTAGCATAAATGTCAACGGAATAAATTCGCTGTATGTACTGAAAAAGACGGCCAAATCCTCGAATATTCTGCAATTCGAGCTTATTTTACTTTTTTTTAAATCATGTGCAAAGACTAACACAGTTTTTGCTTGTATATACTCGCCAAAGTTACCTTTCCGCAAAATTAACTCAATTTCATTGACCAACTTCATTGTAGACGTCAACATGAAATATTTCTCATTCGAGGAATTCATTTAATGAATTTCTGTGCAAAAAAATGGTGAATGAGATCAAATGTTCATCACTGTGATCAAATCTTCAGGAACAATTCCACAAGTTCATGCTACCAACGATTCGACAATCAGTCGGATAACTAACAATGTAATATAATTTGAAATTATCCATCAGTTAAGAAAAGGCTTCCAAGTACTCGGAAAGTAGCACAAAGCATAACAAAGGAGTGAAAAGAAACTTTTTTTGATTTGAATCCATCGCGAAACGATACGATAAACTTAGCGCATAATACGCAAAAAGCCAAACAGCAAGCTCAGCGCTGGTCGTCTTCCAGAGTGAACCTTTCCATCGAAACAGCAGACGTTGTGTTCCGAGAAATGTTGACGAAGATGCATCCAGAGAATAATTCACTGTCATTGTTTTGTGTATTTTGGTGGGTTAATTAGCTCAGCAGTTGGTTTTGAACGTTGCTTCTCTTGGGCAACTTTGCAACTCTTTCTTATCAAACACTTTTATTGGATATGAAAATTTCTCTCACTTCTTCAATGCCACCAATTTCAATGAGCATTCGTCAACGATAGCAGTAGTAGTAGCAGTAACAATAACAGTAGTGGATAGGAATCGAGTAAATGAGGAATACTGATTAACACATTAATGATAATGCGATTGACCAAACAGCGATCAGTGGTACTGACTGCTTGAGTTCAGCTCAAAATGAATAAATGAATGAAACTGAATTGATTTGCTGTTGTGAATGAAATGTAGTTGGTACGCATGAAGTTTTTGAACTGACAAAAGGCTATGAGCAGTGGGGCTAACGGTGTCAATTCTGAGGTGCTTGAAGAGAGAAGGTTATCAGAATGTACAAGAGAAGAATACTTGTGATGGCGTTTATTTCAATAATAACGATATTGATAACACTGTTGCTACAAAAACTGTAAGCGAGTGTTGCGTGAGAATTTAAACGGATTGAAGAAGCAATATAAAACTAAAACGTTATGGCTGTAATTGTAAGTATAATTTCAACGTTCGGAAACTGTATGAAGAGCACTGCAGCGAAATCAACAGCAAGCAACCATCCAACAATCAGTTTTGTTGTGGTTACGATGGTAATTCAGAAAGCGGTTTGCTCCTTTCTGGAAAATGAATTCTGAAAATTTGAATTTTTTGCAGCGAGATGATAGTTATGAGAACGAGAGCTGTACTGAGACAAGTGCTTGGAGAAGCCAGTGACAGCAATGATGAATCTCATTCACGTAAACGTGATCGAAAAGAGGCGACGGCGAAAACGACAGCAAAAATTTTATTCGATTTGATTCAATTTTATTCGATTTCGCTCCATTTAATTGGCTTCTATCCGGAATGATATGAATATAATAACAGTAATAACGATAAGAATAATAACTATTATTATTATTATTATTGTAATAATAATAATAATAATAATGATAATAATAATAATAATAATAATAATAATAATAGTAATAATAATAATAATAATAAT